ACTAAATAACTACTAACTTTATTACGACTAATAAACTACTAATAGATTTACGACTGCGTTACGACTACATGTGTCACCTCAACTTTACGACTAATACCGTAGTCGTAATATTACGACTAGGTTACGACTAATGCTTGTAGTCGTAATGTTACGACTACGTTACGACTAATTGTGCATTACGACTAGCGAATAACGACCAATTGGTTTTCGATGTTAATTGGTCGTAAATGGCATATTACGACTAATTAACAACCAATAGTGTAGTCGTTAGACACCTGTTTTCTTGTAGTGCTTATGTGTCTATGATTCAATGCACTCGTAACAGCCACATGCCCTATTTTAATCTGCCACATAAGATGGCACATCTTCGGGGGCGCTTTAACCTTCCAGACCTGTGCTTGGAGTCTTGTAATGCTAGGTTCTCCCACTATATTATCCTCCTCCTTCATTAATATATTTCGAGCAACTCAATAGCCAGACTTGACTATGTACTGCCCACTCCTTGTAACTCCAGCAGTGCGTGTTACTGCGATGTGTTGAGCTAATAGCCATACTCCTTATGAGAGGTATGTCAGCAGCGTCAACATAATCTGCCAGCAGATCCAGATCCCAAGAATTTGTTTCTCGATTGATAAGATCACTCACTCTCATGTTTGGATGCAAAGCCGGAGCAGATGCATGTGCTGGCCTCGCTGGGATTGTGGGAATCTAAGGGTCCTCCCATACTTTCACTTCATAGCCTGAATGTATTTTCTGTCTAACCCCCAGCAACAATAATTCTCGTGCAGCCGAGATGCTTGTCCACACATATGATGGGATGCTGACAGTGAGCTTTCGCAAAGGCGAACTTAGTCGATAATACCGACCTCTCATAACTCGAGCTACCAAGGAATCTGGGTTTTGAGCCAATCTCCACTACTGCTTAGCTAGTAGCGCCAGGTTAAATTCATGGATCCTTCTAAAGCCAATTCCCCCTTCCTCTTTAGATAAATATAACTTATTCCATGTTGACCAGTGTAAGCCTCTCTTAGGTGGGTTTGAGCTCCACCAAAACTGTGCAATGGCACTAGCAAAGGCATCACATATCTCATATGGGAGCAAAAAGCAAGACATAACATAGGTTGGGAGAGCTAGCAGGATTGACTTTATCATTACTTCCTTTCCACCTTTTGATAACCACCTGCCCGTCCATCCATTCACTCTATTCCGAAGCTTGTCTTTTAAGAAGGCAAAAAGCTTACATTTCGAGCCACTGATATCTTCTGGTATCCATAGATAAGTTCCCATTCCTGCTTCACTTTGGATTCCAAGTGTATCTTTGATCTCCTGCCTGGCCTCTTGACCGATCATCTTACCAAAGAGTAGAAAAGACTTGTCAAAATTAATGCATTGTCCATAGGCTTGTCCATATTTCCTAACCACTTTCATTACTTCTTCACATTCACGGGGCTCCGCCTTACAAAAGAAAAGGCTATCATCAGCAAAGAGTAGGTGGGATACCGACGGACACGCACGCGTGATGCGCATCCCCATTATCTTTCCCTGATTCTCTGCGTGATTAAGAAGGCTAACGAGCGCTTCCGTGCATAGAATAAAAATGAAAGGGGACAAAGGATCTCCCTGTCGTAGACCTCTCTCCGGGATAATATTCCCTCTTGGCTATCCGTTCATAAGGACCTTGTACTTTACTGATGTTACATATCGCATAATCCAGGTAATCCAGACTTCTGAGAATCCCATCTTCCTCATGGTGGCCTCAATGAAAGACCATTTCATTCTATCATATGCCTTACTCATGTCTGTTTTGATGGCCATCCTCTTATTGCGTCCACTTGGTTTTGTTTGTAAAGCATGGAACAATTCATGGGCTATCATTATGTTGTCTGATATCTGTCTCCCAGCAACAAAAGCTGACAGGGTTTCTGAAATCCTATCTGGGAGGACCTTTTTTAATCTTTGGCATAAGACCATGGAAATAATCTTGTATCAAACATTACAAAGACTAATGGGTCGTAGCTGGCTCATCTGGTTTGGTTTGTCAACTTTTGGGATAAGGCATATATTAGTATCATTTATACCAGCCGCTATAGTCCCTTGGAATAGGAATTGATTAACCATAAGAGTTAGATCATCCTTAACGATGTCCCAAAAATTTTGATAAAACAAAGTTGTCATTCTATCGGGTCCTGAGACTTTCTTTGGGTGCATAGCAAAAAGAGCTAACTTAACTTCCCATTCTTAAACCGGAGCTATTAGGCCATCATTATCTGCTGGCGTAATTGTAGTGGTAACTTCTGAAAGTGCGTCCTCTATCTCCGCAGGGTTTGATGATTGGAAAATTTTGTCGAAAATAGCTAGTAGCAATGGCTACCGGGCCTTCCTCATCCTCCACAACATTCCCATCTGCATCCAATAGTTGGGTTATCCTGTTCTTCGCTCTTCGCTGCTTCGTGAGAGCGTGGAAAAACTTAGTGTTTCGATCTCCCTCCCTTAATCAGATTACCCTGCACTTCTGCTTCCAAAACAATTCCTCCACTTTAAGGGAGTTAGAAAATTCTTTTAAAGCCGCTGCGATCTCCTCTATAGTGGCATCATCCTTGGAGGATAATCGGTCCACCTTTTCCTTTAGCTCCTCTATACTTTTCTCTGAATTCAGATTGTGCTGCCTTTTCCAATCACATAACGCTCGTCTACAGCTTGCAATATGTTCCATAATGCTAGCATCCGGAGGTAGGTCTGGTGATTTCCATCATTCAAGTATAATCTGTCTGAGTTCCTCATTCTGAAGCCATCGCTTATCAAATTTAAAGTTTTTTGACTTTTGTGGTTTTTTTTAAGAATATCTGCTAGGATTAGACGATGATCCGAACTCCAAAACCTCATGTACTGCACTTTGGAATGAGGAAACTTCTTAAACCAGTTTTCATTATCCACAATTCTATCAAATCTACAACTAATCAGTTTTTCTGATTCGGCGTACATGACTTATACTATGTGCAGTTATTCATAAAAAAATATAATATCTTTGTTATTGTTTAGCAAAAAATGAGCAGTAAACATTGTTGTACACATCTCCTAATGAGTTTCACTAGGTGTCGACCCGCGCCATGCGCGGAGTGAGATTATTTTGACTTTGATCAAACAATAATTTGGTATATTAATTTGTTTAACTAAAAATAGGTAGTGGATGTGAATTAGTAATAAAAATCATATAGTCATATAATGAGATATTAGTATAGCTGCGAAACGAAGCATTGATTCATAGCTATTTGTTTTCACTTTTTGTCTTATATATCTATTTGTCTTA